GTTTGTGATGAGGAGCGATCCGAACCGTGGCATTCGGGAGAGATTTTTAGCAATACCAAACAACTCTAACACTCACACGTCATTTGGGGCCTGGAGCCCTGTTTGTGTTAGTGCCAGTGCGCGCCAGTCCCGTGCCCAGTGTCGTGCGAGGGTGTTTTGCTCTCAAATTTCTTTCTTTGTTCATGGCTGCGGAAACTGTAATAAACAACGTGAGAGACATCCCGCGCTGTCTCCAGACTCCACTCTGCGACGTGAGCAATAGGCGTCGCGGCGGGGACCAAAGCGTGCACGTTGCGGCCGGCGGCGCGGTGCGGCTGGACCCGGTTCGCTCTTCTCCCCTACACGCTACAGCGTAGACGTACGCAGGTACGCTACCCAACGCGGCCAAAGGATATCCACCTCGAGAACCTCGATCAGAACACAATCTATCTCAACAAACCACCACACCCCCAAACCCCGGTAAGGTTGGGCGCGTGCCCGCTCTTGTCTTGTGTCGCCGTTCAGTTGCCTCTGGGCCTGCAAACCAGCAGGCACCTCCGCCCCGTCCCGCTCACACCCTCGAGACGGCCCCGTACGGCCCGAGCGTCGCGAGCTCTGCCTCGCCGCCTTCCAGCGCGAGCGGGGCGTCGCCTCCCTGCGGGCTGCCATCGAGGCTAGCCGGCGGCGGCATCACTCGCGGGCGTCTGCAGCGGCGCACGACGCGCGGCAGCGGGACCAGGCGGCGTGCGAGGCCGCGGCGAGGCGGCTAGCGGCGGCGGCGACGGCACGCGCGCGGAGGGCGGCGGAGGCGTGGCTTCACACGGCGCCGCCCGACCGACAGAGGCGGCGCTCGCGCGCATCGACGCGTGGCGGGAGGCGCAGCTGGCCGCCACCGCCGCCCTCGCAGATCGGCGCGGCGGCGGCGTGGAGAGAGGGCCTCCTCGCCGAGGCAAGGGAGGCGGACGCGGCGAGGCGCACGGCGCTGCTGTCGCAACGCGAGGCGCTCGCGCACCAGGTCTTCGGCGGCCAGCTGCAGCCTCCCTCTCGCTCCCGCGAGTGCGCCTGGTGGGTCGGGCTGGCGGTCCCCGACGCGCTGTGCCGCGAGGCGGGAGGCGGCGAGTCTAGCCGCGAGGCTGTGGCGGCGTGCGATCGGGTGGCGTCGCTACAGCGCGCGGCGAGCGCCGCGGCCGACCAGGCGGCGGCGGACACCAGGCCGGCGGCGGCCGATCGCAGGGTCGCTGCGGCTGCGGCGAGCGCGGAGGAGGCTGTGGTTGCCGCGGGCGCCGCGGCGGCGCTCCAGCCGTGGAAGGCGGCCAAGCTCGCCGAGTTGTCCGAGCTGGAAGCGGGCCGGGTGGCGGCGGCGGCGGCGGCGGGCGAGGCGTTTGCGCGCCGCTTCTCCGCGGCGGCGGAGCTGGAGCGGCTCGAGTCGGCGCTCGCCGACTGGCGAGAGAGAGAGAGGCGCAGCACAAGCGGACGGCGGCGAAGCTGACAGAGGTGAGGGTTCGTCACCGGGCCGCCCGGCAGTGGGTGCTGCTGCTGCGACGGAGCGCGGAGCAAAACACGCGGACGGTGGCGGACCTGGCCATCGGGCGGCAGAGGCTCGCAAAGGAGGCGGAGGCGGCAGCGAGAGAGGTTGAGGCGGAGACGGCGAGGCGCTTCGACAAGAAGGGCCAGATGCATGCCAGGTGGGCGGAGAGGAGCGCGCTCGAGCCGAACGCGCCCAAGCGCCAGGCGCTGCTCGAGGCTGTCGGCGCTGTCCGCGACGCGGCGGCCGACTCCGCCGCGCGGGTGCGGGCGGCGCTGGGGCGGGTGCGGGGCGCGGCGGTGTCTGGCGCCACGGAGGCGATGCGCGCGACGGCAAAGGCACTGAGCGAGGCGGCAGAGGCGGCGGCGGAGGAGGAGAAGGCGGTCGAGCGCGAGGGGAGGGGGGAGGAGAAGAGCCCAAGGCGGCCTCCCTCTCCCTCCCCTCCCACCGGGCCTCCCTCTCCCTCTCCTCCCACCGGGCCTCCCTCTCCCCCTCCTCCCGCCAAGCACCGACAGTCTCGAGGGGCCCGCCGCTGGAAGGGGCAAGCCAGCGGCACGAGGGCTTCAGCCACACAGCTACCAAGGGAACGCGACCCACACAAAGCACCAAAGTTAGGCATACCCCCCTGCGCAGTGTCCCCCGCTATGTGTCGCCGTTTGTCGGGGCACGCTATCCTGTGCAGTCAGGGCAAGTGGGGGCGGGGTGGAGTGCCCAGGAGCGTGCCCTGGGATTTCTCTGCCCAGTCCGGGGGTGCGTCGAACCTTCCATCACCCTGGGAACGTCCGGGTGATGGAAGTAAAGATATATTACTTTTTTTACGTGTCGCTCCCCACTGCTCGCACACCGGCAGCGCCATGGACAACCGCCGGTCGTCCGTCCGCTCGAACTCGCCGCTGGTCGAGGGCGAGTCGTCCCGCATCCCGCATCGCTGCTCGCGCCTTCAGTCGCATGTTGGAGAATGCTCAAGAAACCTCGCGGCGCTGCTCAGTGACGCGCTGGTGCACCACCTTGCCGTTCGCGTCAGTGCAACCATGTGAGTCCAGGCAAACGTAGCACGCCTCGGCTCCTCGGTGGTCACCGGGGAGCTTTGCAGGCAGGCTGTACGATCCGGGCCGCGCCATCTCCCACGAAAAGCGCAACGCACACGCCGCACGGAACAGGAGGCGGCGAGGCGCACGATGCTTCTCCAACGGTAAAAATGGCAGCTGGTGCTCCGTCTCGTGCGACAGCTCGAGAGGCTGCAGCCCAAATTCTGGTAGCAGCGCAGACGTGGCTGAGCCAGCCGAGTCACGGGTGGCGCAGTGGTCGAGAGTCCAATGCTGGAGCGATGGCTCGTGCCAGGGCGGCTATCAAAGCTGAGGCTGGCACAGCACCCGCCTCGTTGAAACATAATTCCGCAGCGAGCAGTACGCAGCGCATCTCGCCAGAAGCAAGGCCGGTCTCGGTGGTGTCAGGGACGCCGATCGTCCCCGGCGAGCCTCTACCTGATGTCGAGGCAGGCGCAGTAGCCGGAAGCGTCCACCAGCAGATTCATGATCAGCTCTCCGGCCGCCGCTATCGGGTAGCGATCCTTGCAATCTGTGCCGTGATCGCAATGACAGTGCTTGCGGTCGGCTCAACGGCAATCGCCCTCATGCTGAGATCGCCACCGTCACCGCCTCCGTCACCACCGCCTTTACCGCCTCCGCCATGGTGGCACCGACCGCCGCCAGAGCCACCAATGCTGCCGCCGCGGCCGCCGCCGCGGCCGCCGCCACCAGCGCCGCCACCACCGCCACCACCGCCACCGTCGTCACCACCGCCGCCACCAGCGCCACCGTCGCCACCGCCGCAACCGCCGCAACCGCCGCAACCGCCGCCAGCGCCACCAGCGCCACCGCCGCCACCGACCTCTTTCAACGGCAAGCCCGCCCTCCAGGCCGCGGTCGACCTGTGGTGCAGCGACGAGGCGGCCGCCCTCGCAGAGTACGGCCACATCTCGGGGTGGGACGTGGGCGCAGTCAACGACATGAAATGCCTGTTCAGCCCGCATTGCAGTGGCTCCTCGACCGGTAAGGACACCTGCAATCCTGATATCTCCGCGTGGGACTTGTCGGCGGTCACCGATATGAGCTCATGTTCTACTACGCCCGCTCCTTCAACCAGGACATCAGCGCGTGGAACGTGTCTGCAGTCATCACCATGAGCCACATGTTCACCTCCGCCCGCTCCTTCAACCAGGACATCGGCGCCTGGGACACGTCGGCAGTCACTTGCATGACCTACATGTTCGCCCACGCCTTCAACCAGGACATCGGGTCGTGGGACGTGTCGGCGGTCACCATCATGCGCGCGATGTTCTTCAGCGCCACGTGCTTTTCCCACACCCTCTGCTCGGATGCGTGGCGCGACTCCAAGAGCAATGCCGACCAGACAAGCATGTGGGGTCATGGCATGTTCACCGATACAAACGGCGGGGGCATTTGCTAGTTGCAGTCGTATTTCCGGGCGACGTTTCTTTAAATTTGTTGTTTCCGTGGGAGAGTTTCTCATTTCACTAGTGCCCATGCGCGATGCGGCTCTAATGGTCTCCCCCCGACCGACCCCCTCCCGACCCCCCCCTCGGCTCTAATGATTCACACCGATCCCCCCCTCCCAGACAAGTTACTTGCGCCGCGCTCATCCAGCGCCTGGCGTTTGGGGCGAGCCGCGGTCGTCGTCGTTGATGGTATGGCGGCGGCGGCGGCGGCTCGCCCTTCCCTCCGGCCGCAATTCCGATCCCGCCGCGCTCGCGGGAGGTCGCGCGTATATATTTGTAGACAGCAACGGCTATCAGTGCTGCTGTGCGCCCCCTGGTGCGTGGTTGCTTTCAAGTTCTTAGATCACAACCTAAGGATGATAATAAGGCAAAAAGATCGTTGCGCCTTGCCGATCCGCACCTACCTACTCGTAGGCTCTTGGGTGGCGCGCCCACTCACATCCTGGCTCTTTTTCCGCGATGTGAATCGTGCGTGTGCGAGAGCCGGGATTCGAAATTGTTTTTTTCCGCGATGGCCGCTCCGGCCGCTCTCCTCCTCGTCCTGGCGGCATCGCATCCTCGCCCGTCCGCGCCGCTGACGATCCGCGCCATCCGCCACGCGCCGCGCGTCCCGACGATCCACCTCGCGGCGCCAGGCGTTGGTCGCGCGATGGACTGTTGCGAGGACGAGCTCTGGCCACCGTCTTCGCTGCGCGGTCCCGCGGGGCCCTCCGAGAGGGCAGCGATGCCGCTGTCGTCGTCGACGCCGCGACGAGGTGCGGCTGGCGAGCCTGCGG